CATTTTTAAAATATATATATGTGAGGCAGTGTGGTGGAATCAGGCTCTCGTTAAAATAATCAAAGTGAAGAAACTTGCATTTTTCCACAGGTTTGTGAATTTTTATCAAATTTTTGTTTTTTGGCTCAACACCTTTCATGCCCATTAAAGAACTCATTTCTGTGTGGATTTTTCTTAAAAACGTTCATTAAAGGCAAAAAAATTGTAAATTTTCAGTTACCACGGACTCTAAAGTTAGTAAATAACTAATCTTTGGCTGCCATTTTCTCACTAATTTTACCTCTGAAAACAGGTGACCCCCACCTCCTTCATTCGCAAATATCTCGCCTTGTATTCAAGATAAATGGATATTTTTTTCATTCAAATAAAGACAACTGAACAAGCTTTAAGATGATACCAATAACTCTTCATGCCCAAAAATTGACGAGAGCCTGATTCCACCACGCTGCCTCACATATACATATAAGTGTTTCACGGCACTCTCAGCAGCATAAAGTGCGTGGGACACATTAATTTTAAGCATTGTCAGTTTGGTAGGAATCCTCAATTAATTTTGAGTTTTGCCAGGGTGGTGGCCGAAGCCTTCTCTTTTATCGATCTCCTCAGGACCACCAAGGGATCTTTAACATGCGCAACTTGCACACTGGACCTCCGAGATTTTTCCGCCCGTATCCGATAAGGCTAGGTGTTCGATCATACCTACCCTAAGATTAGGGGTGTGGCAGAAAGACAGCAGTAGGGAAGATCTCTCTGCTTGTCCATTAACCATTAAGTCTGCGACGACGACGACTACGTGATACCTGACGATCATATTATTCATATTCCAGCCCAAATTCTGCATACACTACAGGACGTGCAGACGAGGGGGAAAAAAATGGAGCTCCACGAAGACTGCTAGGAGAGAGATGAATCTGGAATTGAGGAAATGTTAGATAGGACCAGTCCATTGCATTGTGGCGCCCAGGGAGGTGATGTATTTCTCTGTTTGTCTAACCATAATTGATGATGAAGTCTGCGACCATGACAACATGATACCTGACTATCAAATTCCAGCCCAAATTCTGCGCACACTACACGACGTGGAGACCAGGGTGAAGAAAATGGAGCTCTACGAAGACTGCTTGGAAAGAGTTGAATCTGGAATTGAGGAAATGCTGGATAGGACCTCTCCATTGCATTGTGGCACCCAGGGAGGTGATGAATATTGATTTCTGTTTGTCCATTAACCATTAAGTCTGCGACCATGACTACACGATACCTGACAATCGCCATCATATTCCAGCCCAAATTCTGCGCACACTACAGGACGTGCAGACGAGAGGGAAAAAATTGAGCTCCAGGAAAATCGACTGGAGAGAATTGAATCTGGAATTGAAGAAATGCTAGATAGGACAACTCCATTGCATTGTGGCACCCAGGGAAGTGATGTATTTCTCTGTTTGTCTATCCATAATTGATGATGAAGTCTGCGACCATGACTACATGATACCTGACTATCATATTATTCATATTCCAGCCCAAATTCTGCGCACACTACAGGACGTGCAGACGAGCGGGAAAAAATTAAGCTCCAGGAAAATCGGCTGGAGAGAATTGAATCTGGAATTGAAGAAATGCTAGATAGGACAACTCCATTGCATTGTGGCACCCAGGGAAGTGATGTATATATATATATATTGATTTCTGTTTGTCCATTAACCATTAAGTCTGCGACCATGACTACACGATACCTGACAATCGCCATCATATTCCAGCCCAAATTCTGCGCACACTACAGTACTAAATTGAGCTCCAGGAAAATCGACTGGAGAGAATTGAATCTGGCTTTGAGGGAAAAGTTGGATAGGACCTCTCCATTACATCGTACATTGTGGTGCCCTGGGAGGTGACGTTCACAGCAACTGGAGATGTTGGAAGAAAAAATGACGTCGGACACGACTGCCGCCAGCTGTTGACAATAAATCTACAAAAAACAGAGCAACCCACTCAACACAGCAAAAGGCGACAAACACGTAGAGGATGATGAGGTTTTCCGATCCACAGAATATATCCAACACCAACAACATCCACCACAATATCTGAGCTCAGTAATGAGACACACTACTAAACATACAGGACAATTCAATAAGTAAAGGCTTACTGTCAGAAAAACAAAGCAAATTATCCGAAACTGCGGACCAACAGATAAATCGAAATTTGGTAAAATGGGCAGTACATCTGCGGGAGGGAGGGGCCCGGGAAGGAAATATTGCTTTTGGGTCAGGTAGGTCACAACCACATCCTTCCCCCCAAATATCCGAGGTTTTCTGAACCACAAACATGTCAGCATATTTTCACAACAAAAATTGCAGACAACATATAAGAAACACCAACAACATCCACCACAATATCTGAGCTCAGTAATGAGACAACACTACTAAACATACAGGACAACTCAATAAGTAAAGGCTAACTGTCAGAAAAACAAAGCAAATTATCCGAAACTGCGGACCAACAGATAAATCGAAATTTGGTAAAATGGGCAGTACATCTGCGGGAGGGAGGGGCCCGGGAAGGAAATATTGCTTTTGGGTCAGGTAGTTCACAACCACATCCTCCCCCCAAATATCTGAGGTTTTCTGAGCCACAAACATGTCAGCATATTTTCACAACAAAAATTGCAGACAACATATAGTATAAGAAAAATCAACAACATCCTCTAAAATATTCAGAGCTAATTAACGAGACATACAGACACACTACTAAATCTACAGGACAATTCAATCAGCAGAGGCTAACTGTCTGAAAAACAAAGCAAATTATCCGAAGGTCTCAACCACATCCTCCCCCCAAATATCTGAGGTTTTCTGAACCACAAACATGTCAGCATATTTTCACAACAAAAATTGCAGACAACATATAAGAAACACCAACAACATCGACCAAAATATCTGAGCTCAGTAATGAGACACACTACTAAACATACAGGACAACTCAATAAGTAAAGGCTAACTGTCAGAAAAACGCAGAAAATTATCCGAAACTGCTGACGAACAGATATATCGAAATTTGGTAAAAGAGGCAGTACATCTGATGGAGGGAGGGGCCCGGGAAGGAAATATTGCTGACGGGTCAGGTAGGTCACAACCCCCCCCCCCCAAAAAATATCCGAGGGTTTCGGAACCGCAAACATTTCAGCATATTTTCATAACAAAATTGCAGACAACATATTGTAATATATGAAAAACCAAACACAACATACAACGTCCTCCCAAATATCAAGAGCTAAGTAACAAGACAGACACACACCTAAATCTACAGGACAATTCAATCAGCAGAGGCTAACTGTCTGAAAAACAAAGCAAATTATCCGAAGGTCTCAACCACATCCTCCACCCAAATATCTGAGGTTTTCTGAACCACAAACATGTCAGCATATTTTCACAACAAAATCGCAGGCAACATATTGTAATATAAGAAAAATCAAACACAACATACAACGTCCTCCAAAATATCAAGAGCTAAGTAACAAGACAGACACACCACTAAATCTACAGGACAATTCAGTCAGTAGAAGTAGAAGCTAACTGTCTAAAAAAAGAACCCATATTATCAGAAACTGTCAACAAACAATTATTGATATTAATTAGGTATAACCAGCATGCAAAACATTCGTGGGAGGAGGCGGGGGAAGGAAATACTGCTTCCGGGTTTGGTAGGTCAGTGTAGAGTCAAAAGGCGACGTGTGGTCAAGAGGTTGTGGGTGTACCGGGACTGCGGGGTCGGCAAGCAACTCCAACACACACGTGTGGTGTATAGAGGACTACAGCCAGTGTGTGGGGTGGAGTGGGGAGTCCTGGTTCAGTGATGTGTGGCACGTAGGTACCAGCTGGCCAGAAGTTAGGGCTGTAGTGCGGTTTGGCACACATACAAGACAATGTAGACCTTAGTGAATCTGAAGTACCGTCAGTGTGAATGCTCTGTGGGCTCAGAGGGTGTGGGAAAGACACATGTCAGGGTGACGGTGACGGCTGTGAAAGACTGTGTCCACACATGGTCTAGGAATATCATGATTCAAGTAAATACTTTGGTTTTTGTTTTGGTAAGTTTTGTCAAGGAATATCATGATCCAAGTCTATACTTTTGTTTTGGTAAGTGTTTTGAGGTGCTCACAACTGTAATAAGGAAATACGAGCATGTGGCACACATAAAGCATTTTCCAGTTTAGTAGGAATTAATTTTTTTGTATTTTGCCCAGGTGGCGGCCGAAGCCTACTCTTGTCGATTTTAAGACCACCACGGGATCTTTTAACGTGAGCAACTTGCACACGGGACCTCCGAGATTTATTCGCCCTTATCCGAGAAGGCTAGGTGATAGATTGTTTTACATTGTAAGTGTTGAAGTTAAGAGTGTGGAAACGCCGCATAAAAATAATACATTGTATAGAACATGGTAACACCACCAAAAGGACAATAGATTGTGTGTCGGGTCAAAAGGTGATGGGTGGTCAACAGGTCGTGGGTGCACCGGGACTGTGTGGGGTCGGCCAGCAACTCCTACATACACGTGTGGTGTGTAGAGGACTACAGCCAGTGTGTGGGAATGAACCGTGGGCTCAGAGGGTGAGAGAAACACACATGTCAGGGTGACGGTGATGACCGTGAGAGACCCGTGTCCACAGCCTCAGTGTGGTCTAGGAACATCATGATCCAAGTCCATACTTTTGTTTTTGTTTTGGTAAGGTAAGTGTTTTACGGCGCTCGTGAATGTTATGAGGCTGTACGAGCATGTGGCGCACATAAAGAACTTTCCAGTTTGACAGGAAACATTTTTTAATTTTGCCTACTCCTGTCGATCTTAAGACCACCACGGGATCTTTTAACATGAGCAACTTGCACACGGGACCTCCGAGATTTATTCGCCCTTGTCCGAGAAGGCTAAGTGTTAGATTGTTTTACATTGTGATTGTGTTATAGTACAGAACATGACAACGCCACATAGAAAAAACACAAACGCCACATAGAAAAAACACATTGTATTAGATCACGTCAGCCCCTATAACAACAATACTATATTGTATTACAGATCATGGCAGCCCTATATATAAAAACAATAGATTGATTAAATAGATCGTGGCAACACGATATAAAAACAATGCATAGTATTTAAATATGGGACAGGACAATACTTCATAAGAGACAATAGTAACTCAGGTCACCCTTTCTGAGATTACAAGCTTTCCTGTCAATCACAGGTTGTGGGGGAACCGGGACTATGTGGGTCGGCCAGCAACTCCTACATACACGTGTGGTGTATGGAAGACTACAGCCAGTGTGTGTGAATGATCCGTGGGCTCAGAGAGTGAGGGAAACACACATGTCAGGGTGACGGTGATGACCGTGAGAGACCCGTGTCCACAGCCTCAGTGCAGTCTAGGAATATCATGATCCAAGTCTATACTTTCGTTTTTGTTTTGGTAAGGTAAGTGTTTTACAGCGCTCACGAATGTTATAAGATCGTATGAGCATCATGTGGCGCGCATGATAAAGAAGTTTCCAGTTTGGTAGGAATTAATTTTGAATTTTGCCCGGGTGGCGGCCGAAGCCTACTCTTGTTGATCTTAAGACCACCACGGGATCTTTTAACGTGAGCAACTTGCACACGGGACCTCCAAGATTTTTTCGTCCTTATCCGAGAAGACTAGGTGTTAGATCGTTTTACATGGTGTTTTAGTATAGAGCCTGGCAACGCCACATAGAAATAATACATTGTATTAGATCACGTCAGCCCTTATAACAACAATATATTGTATTACAGATCATGGCAGCCCTATATATAAAAACAATAGATTGATTAAATAGATCGTGGCAACACTATATAAAAAAATATATAGCATATATATATATGGGACAGGACAATACTTCATAAGAGACGATAGTAACTCAGGTCACCCTTTCTGAGATTACAAGCTTTCCTGTCAATCACAGGTTGTGGGGGAACCGGGACTATGTGGGTCGGCCAGCAACTCCTACATACACGTGTGGTGTATGGAAGACTAGCCAGTGTGTGGGGTGTAGCGGGGAGTGATGTAGTCCAGTGATGTGTGGCACGTAGGTACCGGCTGGCCAGAAGTTTGTGAGCGTGCCTGGTGAAAGGTACCAGAAGACATCTTTGCTCGAAAAAGAGATACCAGGGAGAAATTTTGACAAACATTAAGTTCCATTAAAAATGGATTCTCTAGCCATTCGTATATCGATATTTAAAAGGACTTGAGTTTCTTTAACTTTAAAATACGTTTCCATAGATGCTTTTTCAACACGAGGTATATTGCATAATCCAAAAAAATGCGTACGTAAGAAAATTGGTTTTCCGAGTAAACATTGCGGATGGTTTCCTATATCCATTCATAAAGTCAACCCAATCACATTGCATACCAAAATTTAGGCCATTCTCTCCCTTCTCTAGTGGCAGGTGGCGCGCATGAATTTTTAGAAGATGTAAACAAAGCAAAGCTTGGCGCATCCACACCCTTTCGTTTTTTCAAGAGCAAACTTGTAAATGTATAGCTTTGTTTCCGTACCCTGCCTTACAAAATCACATATATCTCAAAAACTACTAAAGACAACTTAAAAATTCAAAAAGCATATTGTTCAGAAATGGCCTCTGTACATGAAAATGCAAAAAAACCCGGGATTTTTCAAAATACGTCATTAGGCACCTTTCACCAGGCACACACACAGTTAGGGATGTACTGGGATTTTGGCACATACAAGACAATGTAAAAAGAAATGGCTAACTCCGCTAAAAAAGCACTGACACTAGATGCAACTTAACAAAACATGGTAAAAGTAAACTTGAGACCTTTATTAAAAAATTCTTTGCCAATCACTTGCATCCAGGATCACCACTCTCGTTGGAGCTATTTTTTGTTATACTTGAAAGACGTATTAAACTTACTTTAATAGAGTGTGCGCGAGGGAGGGGGTCAAAATGTACCATGGCAGGACCGGAAAGTTAGGAATAGATTTACATACATATCACTATCACCCTTGCAGAATCAAGCAAACCATCCTCAGAAACATCCCCATCTCCGGGAGAAATTCACCATACATAGTCCTTTCTGGTGTCGATGTAATCTTGAATGTTCTTATTGTCCAACACGAGCTGAGCGTTTTTCTCCAACAGCGGGTATCTGTTGTCAAAGATGAGGAAAAGCTTTAGGTAGCTGCTGCGCGCGTCGAAGGCTGCTATGTCTGCTAGAGAAAGACTTTTTCCTACAAAGTAACCTGAGCCGTTGTCCGACAGAAGCTTCTCCAAGTAGGCCAGATACTTTGGTGTTTCCTCCTGTCGACAGATCTCCATCTGAAAAAGAAATTAAATGTTAGCAAAGTCGATAATAATAGCTTGTTCCACAATGTCTTGCGATGACCAATACATCCGTAAAGGAGTACATTCCTTGGGCGAAAACAATTCAGAAGAATCAATTAGAAGAATTAAAGATTAAGATGATTTGTGGCTTCTGCAAAGAAAGCAATTTATCCTTAATACCCAACCAGTTTTGTCATCCCAGTTTTTCAGAACTACAAAATTCCCTTATAACTCTACTCCTGTTTCACTTATTTACTTTAAAATTTACATCATAAAATAACACCAAACTGAGTTGAAATGAAAGATCTGAGCAAAAAAAAACACACACTATGATTATAGATAACAAGGCACGGCTGGGGGCTGGAAGCTTTTTTTCTTACGACTGCAGCAACCTAGTGATGCAGTGAACCAGCTAAACTGGCATGTCGTATACTAATAGGTAAATTGCGTCCTCCCAAAATTAATATAATTCTATTATTCAGCAGTTTGCTGACAATGGCGAGAAGAAACATGATACTACATATGTGAGGCGTGCCAACAAACTGAGTTACTTCTCGCAATCCACAAATTTATGGAGATATTGGCCAAAAATCGACACTAGGGTCAAATCGGTAGATTTTCTATACTTGCCATATTTTTTAACTATAACAAATTAACATGCCTTTCCTTTTATTATTTCATATACTTATAAACTGCAAAAACTTCACCTATACGCGTGATGTATAGATCTATTTCCATAGGGCTCAAATCCGAGAAGTAACTCATTTTGTCAGCACGCTTCACATATGCTATATAATCTCTGAACGAGGAAAGGACAGTGAGACAAACCTAAACTCATTGATACAAGGCATAACGTCAGCCAACCGTGAAAAATCCGCAAGTCCAGAAAGCAAAAATTTACAGGAGAGGGAACAATTGTACAAACATTACATATTTGTTATTAGTTTTTTGTTCAACATTAGAATTTGAATTTTTATATACATATTCCATGAGCACACGCAATCGATACAACAGATTAAAAAACAAGGAAAAACCCCCCAAAACAAAACAAAAACATGCAAAATTTTATGCGTGACATGACATTCTAGTAGCTAACCAACCATAAAATTTCTTATTCTTACAAACACTGAAGAGCTCGTACTAAAAAGATGTTTTAAACTTAATTCAAAAATGGAGAGGGTTTCAAAATGTGTGCTTTAATCAGTCACCTTACCTGTTTGTCTCTCTCCGGTCCATCTTCCAAGTACCAACTCTTGGCGGCTGCTTTGTACACATCTTCTAGCGTATTCATGACGACATCGATGACCAGGCCGTCCATGTTAGTCTTGCCGTAGAGGCCAAACTCGCGGGCCAGATAGGTGAAGTGAGCCATGCTCTGGGGGAACCGTCTGCCGTTCACCTGAGTAAGGGTCGGGTGTAGTAAGTGAAATATGAGGGCGGGGAAACGGGATGGCCTGGTAAGTTGTTTTAGTTTACACCACCAACGACACAATTATTGAATTAGGTCAAATAAGTGCAGAACATTAGAAGTGTTACAAATTACAAGAGAGGAATATATAATCCCAAAAAAAAAAGAAAAAAAAAAAGTTAGATAGGAGATAATGACAGCTGATGATTGATAGGAATGAGGGAGAAAACCATACTGGAGCACCCGCCATTCACCCATCAACAAGATAATGCCAGGATTTCTTTTGATTTCTGAAGAAACGTATAGCTCAGGAAGCCAAAAATGAAAATTCATATTAATTTCATAAACTTCCAATTGTAAAATAGTTTCTATGAAACCGCAGGCTATTTTTAACTTTGATAGTGGCGTCGGTAGTCTCGTGGTCAGGCTACCGGACTCGTAATTCTGAGGTTGCGGGTTCGGGGGTTCGAGCCGCGGGCCTGACGGTCGGTGTGTCCTTGGGAAAGGCACTTTACACGAATTTTCCCCTCTTCACCCAGGTGAAAATGGGTACCCAGCTATAGACAAAGATTTTATCAGTTTGTTATGTAAGAGTAAGAGCGCTTAACCAGCTGCTTGCACTGTATGCTTCCCGGGAAACTGAGTATGTTTCTGAGTGTTCTATGGTCTGCTGGGGTAATAATATAGGGTAAAGCGCATAGAGCTTGCTTTCCAGTGGGGAATGCGCTATACAAATGCTATTTATTATTATTATAATATCAAATTTAATTTTTATCCCTAACTATATAGATATATAAAAAAAAAAAAGCAGAACAGGTACCAGTACCGCTGCAATACAGCAAAGGAGAAGTGCCAAAAATGTTGGACGCAGTAAGAAAGTGTAGGTGTTTCACGCCCCATCAATCCATTTTACATTATTTATCAGTCATGATTTTTCAACTCTGACTGCCAAAACAAAACCAGGGGTCAGAGGAGTAGGAGGTCCCAAAGGACAGAGTGAGTTACTTGAATAAAAATAAAATTTTAATCGCACACGAGGATAGATAGAAAAGTCTGCGTGCGACGGGGAAGCATCTAATCCCTTCACCAAAGAAACTGTTTTTTCACGATATACAATGTGGTGGAATCAGGCGCTCGAACATTTTTGGATGGGGTTATTTGTGTCATCTTAAAGTATGTTCATTTGCTTTCCTTTTGGTACAAAAAACCCCCCATCTATGTTGAATAGAAGTCGAAATATTTGCGATTAAAGGAGGTCAGGGTCAACTGGTTTCAGAAGCAAAACTAGCAAGAAAATGGTAACGTTCAGACCATAGCTTGAGAGCCCTGGAAACTGAAAATTTACATTTTTTGTACCTTTAATTAATGTTTTTCAGTAAAACCCACACAAAAATGTGTTTTTAAATAGACATTAAAGGTGTTGAGCCAAAAAACGAATAAATAAGAAGAAATAAAGAATGTCCATCCGCCCCCCAAAAATGCAAATTTCTTTGATTTAATTATTTTGACGAGCGCCTGATGTCACCACAATGCCTCACATATATTACACTACATACAAACACACACATATATATGCTCTGAGTATATATTTCGATCGCGTGTATCCCTATTTTAAAAAATATAATATACATACATACACAGTCGAACCTGTGTAAGACTGCCACCCATTGTCGAGCAGAAAAGTGGCCATCTAAGACAGGTGACTGTCTTAGGCAGGACTGATGACAATGATGTTTGCATATATATAAATTTACATTGAATACAGAAATTGTGCTTCTCTTAGAAGTTACCTCTAGCATAGGACATTGGCCAAGGGGAGCCTGGTGCTTGTACTTTTGCCATTCCGCATGCGGGAACGTGACCTCATCGTACTGTTTCCCTGCATGCGCCAGGATGATGCGGGACACCTCCGCCCGCCCCCTGTACGCAAAGTAGAACAGACGTATCTTGGAAGTCGCCATGTTTAGTCTGTAATTAGAAGAAAAAAACCAACAATTTTTAACACATTCATTGGATAGAATAATATTAAAAATAACCCATTTTTGTCCTATTCTTGAAGGGCACGAAAAAACACCCACAACCTTTATTATATAATTTACGTATATAGAACAGAACAAACAATACAATTTTTTAAAATGTAAGTGTTTTAGACCCCTGTCGAAAAAGCAGGGTATTTTAAAAATTCAGCATATATATATATATATACTATACCATTTAAACAAAAATAAAAACATTCATAAATACACACAATACATTGTTTGTGTGTTCTCGCATCTGCCAGGAAGTTGTAAAGCGCATAGAACCATGAACTGTTGCCCTCTCTGTTCCACTGGAACATCGTAATGGGGGTATTCTATAATTCCGAGGCGAGCTTATAAATCTCGCATCGCGGTATTCTTCGCGTAAAAAAAGGTATTTAATTGTATGGCATGATAGATTGAATTGACTTATATTTTATGGTAGGCATAGTCTAAAGTCATTAAAGAAAGTTTTGCCTGGTCACACTGATATTCTCCGTGTGCCCACTGAGGATGGGATCGGGTTGATCGCCTGACCTGTTGCCTGAAAAACAAACGTGCTTGTTTTTGAGGCGACGAGTCCGGCGATCGGTTTGTGCCACGACAGCTGCTTTGCAGCCTCAATCTGGCTGGTGAACGTATGACGAGCTGAGTTGAGGATGGAGAGACAGTGTGAGCGACAGAGCGGGTGAAAGGAAGAATGTACGAGTGTATCCACAGGCGACAGCAACTACAAGTGCAAGACGACAACACTGACCCCCCTGGCCTGGTCCACAGCTCACGAACGAAAGAAACGTGGCTAAGGCAGTGTTTTGCCTATATTATTGTCCATGGTTCACAGGGTGGAAGGGAATGAGTGAGATTTTCTTTGTGTGTGCCTGGAGGGAGGGGGTGGGGTGTGAAAGTCATGAGGACGGGGATGAGCCGCGGGAGAGAACACGGGAATTGAATGAATGAGTGAAACTGAAAGAGAGGAACGACTCATGAGCACTGGAGTGAATGGATCCTGCGCTTCTGTTTTTGTATACTTTGAACTGTTACTGAATAAAGGCTGAAATAAAGCCCGAAAAACATACGCGCACACTCCTCACTCTCCACTTACAACCACACACAGACACATTCACGCACGTACACGCATAGACACCCACACACAGAAGCAAATTTTTGGGTTTATATCTACTTCAATTTTCAAGAGCTAGTCTAGAGATTTTTAGATGAGTGTAAAAACGTGAAAAAGAAAGGATTCACAACAGAATTAAATCAAAATTAGTCTAACAGCCCATAAACAACCACAAAAACTAACAAATAAGGGTGTGTGTCAACCTGTCCGATAAAAGTGCGTAAAATTTTTTTAAAGTACAGGATACATGTTAATTATGGAATCACACACATTAAGGGACCTGCCAGTGTCAGTACATGTAATCGGTTTTGGTAGAACGTACGCTCTAACATAAAACATTTAAATCTATATATATATTTAGAATCTAATGAAGGTAGGAACATCAAATTAAATGACGTTACATAATGCAACATTCCCCCCCCCCCCCGTTTTCCCCAACAAAAAAAAAATGAATAAAAAAAACAATACATCAGAACAGTAACAAGAAAAAAAATTACACACTAACAAAATAAAACACCACAAAGAGTCAAAAAGGGAAAAATAAAAGTAACTGTAACGTATTCAACAAATCAACGTGGTGGCAACAAGTGAGAAAGAGACTAAGTGAAGCTACGTGAACTTTCTTTCAAAAGTAAAGAGGTTCGGTTTCTTTCTTTTTTTTTTTTTCAAATTTGACTTTTATTCCCCGACCAAAAAATCGAGCCACGATTGATTGGTCGCGGCCGCGACAAACACAGAAGCCAGTTCTGTGTCGTTATCAATAACCCTCCGTAGATCTAGATCTAGACAGCACACGAGTGAACACAACACATCAAGTTTAAGAGCAGCACCCTTCATAGACAACACGTCACATCTGTAACGAAAAACTGTTTGGAACTGTAGCATTTCTTTATAATAAATATTTACTGCGGACACTTTTTGGACCGATTGAACCATATATTCATATTGTATACATACGAACAATCTTTGGTAGTAGGCCTTTACTCTATATAATATCCTAAATTTGCGCGAAAGGATGTGATTTCAGAGTGTTCAGAGAAATAGCAAAGATAGTACAGCCTACGGTAAGATGTTGCAGTGGCCCAATTTTGTGAGGCACGTCGACTCCTAGCGCCACTAGCGGCGAGCGTGCGACAGTATGTAAACAAACACGGCGAGAGACTCGCAACGCTCTATGCATTACTGGCCAGTTTTGTTCAGCGATCGGCAGTTCTAATTCCAGAGGAAAAACGAAATAATTGTCTTTCTTCAGATTCCCAAAGGACGAAAAATGGAAAGACAATGTGAAATTGATTTTTCAATCTAGAATCTAGATTAGAGCTGAACTAGAGAGATCCTGTAAGCTTTGTTTACAATCTGCATGTATCACGTGTCCATGACTATGACCAATGCTTTGTACTCTGTACTTTGATGTGTGAGGGCCCTTTCCATTAGGTGTAGAACTAGATTCTAGATGCAAATGTTATGTATATATATATACGACATATATCTATATTATGTTTTCTGTGTTGTATGTTATTATGTAATTTGTTCTTTAGCACAACACACAGAGATCAGTATTTTGCATGATATTAACTTGTAACTTTTTATGAGAGTCTATCAAGTCAAATTCAATTCAATTCTCTCTCCCCACACATACTCATACACACATGTACGCACGCACACACACACACCATATGTCCTGACCACTTCTGTACATTAATTCTATCATCATCACGGCCACCATCACATCATCATCATTAAATCATCTTTATGCACATCACAAAAACCACCCCCACAACCATCCAGTGGGGGTGGGTAGACCAATATTTAGGTGGGGCTTAGGTTGGTTCCACTTCTTTACTACAAAAAATCAAGCACTAAGAGCTCAACAGTGATTATTTTTCTATACTCACGGTGAGCCACGGCATGTTAAGAAACATTTAAACGGGGAGAATCAACTTTCCATCTCTTTATTCTAAGTTAGCTCTAGATTCTCCTGGATGGCGGGGACGAAACCGTTTCACCTCCAAATTTTTTCTAATTTTCATCTGATGAAAAAGTAGCCTTAGAAGAAGTAGTTCGCCGTGATTTATAACACTTAAATCTCAGGGGCGCACACAGCACCTCAAGCGTATATATATTATTTCGTCTTTGATGAGCTGGTATCAGCTATGTAGTCGAGGAAAATTTAAAGCACCTGACGAAGGTCCAATGAGTGCATAGGTGACTGTGTCACTGGGGAAAGTGTCGTAAACTTTCACCCCGTAGTCAAGGCTAGGAGAGCGTGAGCCCTTAGAAAAGAGAGAGGGAGTTAATAAGACACTTCTATGTTGTAATCTCTCTTTCTCTCTCTGTCACTCACTCAGTCATGCACTCATCTATCTCTCTGTGCGCCTGTTTGTCGTTTTAACTGTTGTAGCTTATTAGTTCTCTCCCTCCCCTTTCTCTCTCTCTCTCCTGCTATTGCAGTGTTCCCTGGTTAATACTAATTGACACTATCTTTTGATTTCTAATAATGCATACTCCTAAAGGTCATCAATACTATCTCATCAATACGATCAATAATATATCTCATCAATACGATCGATAATATTGCATTGGATTCTCTGCCTAGATTTTGTGATTGTCAATGTTTAGGCCTAGATCTAGATTTAGTAGATCGTAAGCCTATACACCCGGTACACTAGATTTATCCTCTGAATTTATCACTCGTTACCGAAGTGAGACTATTTTTAAATCTAATGTTTTTCTTTTAAAATAATTTAGATGTAGATAAAATATTGAAATACGTTGATCAATTCTTTAGTTTGGTAGATAGATCTATAATATTATAATATAATTATTAAGATCTAGATCTAGAATAGAATGGGACCTAGAGTAGAGTAGGATTAACTAGGACGCTCTCATAATGTACTCTATCCAACAAGCCCAGGGCCAAGACATCGGGGCTGTCACACGCTCGCTGGGGGCGTGGCCTATTTTACGCGTGCTACGTTTTTTTTTACAGAGGGAAAGAGAGAGCTGCAGCATCTTACCGTAGGCTGTACTATCTTTGGAAATAGTGCCCAGCTTTATTTTCCCGAAGGCCGTCTTTATTCGGACTCGGGTACGGAAAAAAGGAAGTGTCTTCGTTCTATAGATCTAACGTTCAGTGCTTCCAATTTTCCGCCATTTTTAGTTTCCCCTACACCTTTTCTGCCGATCCGATGCCTGCCGTCTCATTGATACGCCCCCCCCCACCCCACCCCCCATGTTTCCCACTTTCTTTGTTGTAGAAAAAGGTAAAATTGAAGATTAGCAGACCACCTGGCACCTATATATATATATTATGAGCTATGTAAAAAAAAAAAAGACCGATTCGTTCAAATACACAAGCCTGTGTCATCTCAATTGTTTACCAAGAAAAAGTTGTATTGTTGTGTAGAGCTGAGCATACGGCAACTTTTGATTCCATAGACCAGCGCACAATTCATTACGTAGATCTACGTCAAGACTAGCTTATTATTGTAATAATGATCAGTTGCCGGGGGAAAAAAGACTGACGCGTAAGCGACATTCAACGCCCGGACCGACAGTGCCCCCCCCCCCCTCACGCACACAGCCACACGTGTGCAGGCCGCCCATCCGACCCCGACACACGCTAACGAGCCTTCTTTAATTGCTTCTGATGACCTCTTGACAAATAAAATTTATTAGAAGCGCTTTTTTCAGGTTGGCCTCAAATTCATCATAAGATAAAAACTTGGCTCTTGCACAAAACGCCATTTTGCCCGAAGTGATCCCGGTCTCTACCCAGCCTGAGGCGAGTCACGAGTAGGCAGGTCAGGAAGCCGGAGTCACGAGTCACAGGAAGTCGGAAGTGATGTCATGCTGGACAAGAACCAGTCTGAATAACATTTTTTCATATTCGGACTCGAGTCCGAATAGTCACTTCGTTTCCCAAACGTTCGGAGAAATACTGCCCAGGTTTATTTTCCTGAAAGTTCGGAGAAATGGTGCCGGCCTAAAAATACGGTGGGGGGTTTCACCTGATTTTACCATAACTAGACCCTCTATTACTATTTGATGTTTTGCAGTTTTTAGGTTTGATATATTAGCTCGCCGCATATCAAACGTATAAATATCTAGATTCTAGATCTAATCTAGATCTAGTCACACCTAAAGCATAAAACTAAAATCCCTCATGTAAACCCCCAAAATATAAAATCCCTTCACGCCCCCCCCCGCGCGCCAAGCAAGCCAGGTAGAGGTCACCGCCCACGCCACGCAGAATAGGTTGAGAAAGCGGAGCCAACAAAATGTCTCTCCCAGTATTCAATGAATGGACCTACAATTTTTAACTCACCGAGGGGGAGATACGCCGGGCCTTCTCCTGGTACAAAATCTTAAAGTGGCACATACGTCACTAGAACTATTGGTCACTCAATCAAAACTAGTGGACATATTGATTCCTGCTTTGTCATCAGGGAGCCACTCATGGCCAAAGGCATGGGCGTCGGTCGGCCGGCTGGTAAACTTACTTGTCATTACCTAGCGCCTACTTGTCAAGACCAAGAGAAGGAAAAGGAAACCTGTTTTCGGTAGTGGTGGACATTACTCGATACCAGTACTCGAATCTTTGACAGAGACACAAAAACCGTTACGTACGATCTTTGTTATTAAGACCACAGAATTCTACTAATATAATTCACGAAGGTTTTGCCTAACTTAGATCTACATATTTCTTTCGTTGCTTAGTCGATACTAATCGATTCATGTATTGATTGTTAGTTTTTATTTTGGTAAGTGTTTTACAGCGCTCGTAACTGCATAAGGTCATATGAGCGCTCGATCGGGATACATCAAACATTTATCAGTTTGGTAGGTATAATTTATTATTGAACTTTGCCCGGGTGGCGGCCGAAGCCTACTCTAATCAATTTATTTGGACCGCCAAGGGATCTTTAACGTGTGCAACTAGCACTGGGACCTCCTAGATTTTGTCGCTGTCAGGTTTTTAATCCGAGACCGGTTGAATGCATGAGAGGCGAACACGTACTTACAGTAACCTCTAGAGTGCGAGATCAGCCCCCCCCCCCCCAATCGATACTCAAGTTTAACATTTTTTTAAAACTAAAAAGCATTGAAAACACTGCTGGCCCAAAAACTGTTGTGTCTGTGATAAATATACAAAGACACACAACTGATTCCCATATGATGGAGACGCGATAGATTCCATGAGTTCATTAATCTAGTCGAACCATCTAAAATTCAGAAGGCAACTTTTGGGGTTCAGCTAAAAAAGAAGATTTAAAAAATGATGAATCCCTGCACTCCCCCTAAAAACAATTTTTAAAAAAAAAAGTCAGAAAACAAGTTAAAAAAAACAACAACCAAAAGACACAGCTCAGACTATTAATACATGCAGACTTACTACTGCACTTCGTGCTGCACTTACAGTGGCCTTTTATTGTAAAAAAAAAAAAAGAAGTGATTACCGTTATATTACGGATAAACTTTTATTAGGCTACGCCCCCTTGTTTAATCTTCATAATAAATACTGAGTACAGATTGACATTTGGCTCTCTTTACAAAGATACCTCCAAAGATACCTCTTAGTTCATATTGTACTCGATATTGGCCAGTATCGAGTATCGCCATGCCGAAAAATAATTTTTGATGTCGAAGTTGCCGAAGTCGTAAAGGAATTTACTACCGGCCATTATCCCCTTGCTACCGGCTCATAGCGGTTCCGGTGGATAAGGAATTAGGAGTAACTCAATAATATTATAATGCAAAAAAGAAGAAACAAATAAAAGCCAAAAGTAATTTTGCGCACAGTATTTGAATACCACATAGAATTATAACTCCACGATTCGAAGCATTGATCAGCACTTCTGAAGGGACGGGGAAGGGGGGATAATGGGATAGATCTCTACAAAATCATTATAGGCTACGTGAGAACGAGGCCATATTTATGAAGGTTTTGACATTAGCTATCCTCGTGAGACCCATATTTTATTGTGATCCCGTAGATCTAAGCGTATTTCTTCAAAAATAAAAATTTGAGAGAAAAACATTCGGAAACTGACGTGTATTTTTCCATTTCGAACCTCAGATATTTCGTAACATTATAAAGTTTACTGTAACAATATGCCTCGCCTATCGTCTAAAAGGTATTCATCATTATTCGAATGAGCGTAACTAGGCCTAGATCTACTCATAATGACTCATAAGCTTATGAGAGGGGGTTATCTCATGCGTTCGTAACACTTACATAGAGCGCTATAAAAGATAAAAGAGCGTTATTTTCTTTATCGAATCCCCCCCCCCCCCCCCCCCTACCTTCCCGTGGGTTCTTATATAGGCGGGTATCAGTCTCGTTCTTTTTTTGGGAAAAAAACACTGGTGGAAGAGTTGCGTCTGTCCCATTCAAGTATAATTTATTTCTCTTTTACAATTCCGTTTCAAGAAACAGCTGAATTATTATCACCCCCCCCCCTCACACACACACACACACACACACACACACACACACACACACACACACACACACACGCACACACACACACACACACACACACACGTACGGTACTGGAACAGAAGAGTCATACAAAACGTTATCGGTGAAAATTGATAATTAATTCACCCTCAGGCTACGTGAGAGGGGTAAGCTTAACTCTAATGAAATTGAAGTGTATGAAGTTCACTTTACTTTTTTTATAGTCCAAATTTTGCCCAATGACAGACAGAAATTTTAATAAAATGCAATGTTTGACCCATGATAAGAGATAGGCCTATTATAATTCATGTGCACTGCTTGTACACGTACTATTTCATTATGGAAACTTAATTTAAAACAAATGAGTGTTTTATATGATGTGATGAGGGCCACTACCTCAGAATTACAAAATTATATCCCCTCAGTACCGGCGGAAGACTAGCTACCTAGTTTTGAGACATTTGACGTCAACATTTTTGAGTTTCACACAAGCTTTTTCGAAAGTAGGCCTACATCTTTGAATATCTTGATAACGTCTGCGAATATTCTTACGATTTTTGATCTATAGAGCAGATATAATTTTGTGGTTTCTTGGTCTTAGAAATCTAGTTATTCAAAACGGCAAACAATATCAGATATAGAACTTTAAGTAATTGACTGAGGTAGCGACTGAATAAGCTTACTATACTTACTTAACTAACACACGTCAGGACCGCTCGCTGTACACCACAGGTAGTGCAAGCTTCGACCGCTAAATGACTTTAGCGAACGCCGTAAACGCTAGTGCAAAAAGAAAAAAAAAAGAAAAAAAAAAGTTGCTCTTATCGTCTTATCAGTAGAAGAATAAGACTGCATCTTTGCACAGCAGCAGAATAACGAGACGGGTCTGCAAAACACGATGTTAGGATAAAAAAAAATTCGATTGTTAACTGTGTCCATTTTTGGGCACATGAATAAATTATCTAAAGAATCGCTATCGCTTTATGTTTCGTTCTGAAAAAAAAGAAAAAAAATACAAGAATTGACCGTTGGAGGCGTTTTCCGAAACATGTTTCTCCGGAGAGCACCCTCTCAAAAGTTGGCACCTTTTCTTTCAAATTAGCCGATAGGGCCTACTTGGAACGTGACAACAAGCATGATGTGTCTCCGTGTCACCCTGACATGTTTAGTGTCGTTGCGCTCCCAAGGTTTTCTTCTTTCAAGACAAAAAAAACGACCTGGACGATCAAGATTAAAAATGTATTTCTGGCAGTGTAGCACACTTACGCAAGATACAGGGCTCCTCTTTTTTGTATATTTTGGGTTCGTCTTGGACAAGACGAAACTCGTTGCTAAAAATAATATTAAATCTGTTATGACGTGAACACTGATAATAATTATGGTCTTCAACAGTACGATCACCGTCGTTTCTTATTTTGAATTACTGCCACTGAGGAAACCGTCTAGTTCGCTTTAACAAGACAATACTGTTTCTTATCTCTCTTTCTTTTTTTTTTAGTAGGCTACAGAGCAGGTCAATCTAAGCTAAGTTTCCCTTTTTTAGCATGTATTGTATGACCTAAGAAGTCGTTCTTACTCTCACAGTCATAATTTCATTTCACGTTTATTTCCAACGTTTGTCCTTACAATTGCCATGATGTGTGTCATTATTTTGTAAGGAGTGGGGGAGAAAGAGAGAGAGAGAGAGAGA